GTCTTGTTCTATAAATTAAGTTGACAAATATTTTAATCCTATCCCAACAATACTGTCAAGCTGTGAACATGATTATGTATTGTCGATTATTCTTTAGATGTAGTAATATATGGCCCACCTGCATTTCTTTACAAAATTCAAACATTGTATTTCCAGTACGTATGTATAAATACATATATATATACATGGACACAATATATATATTGCTAGTATGTCCATCGTCCCATATACACACACATAAATGGACACATACATATATACATTTTGGTATACATATATACACATGTTTTAGTGAACACCAAGTAAGCAAGATGCTATCTATCATCGTGAGCTTGAATTATGAATCTCGGTTCACACATGTGACACGGTTATTCGTTCAAGTATAAGTGATCTCCCTAAACAATCCACACTTATATTATCATTCATGCCTAAGCCTAGGCTTAAAAAAGAGTAGTAAAATATTACATAGAATATCAAATACTTCTGTTGAATAAAAACAAAAAAATCAATTGCACGTTTTTCTTTTTTCTTTTTTTTTTTTGTTTTTATCCTGGGAATCAATGGGTAGTTGAAAGTGTTCACTACTTTGGCATCACCATGTGAAAAGTTTAGCAAAGTACTACAGATCCTACAGTATAGTGTGGTCCAAAGACTATAAACCTCACAGTTAATGGGCCATGTGGCCCACCAAACAGAAAAATACTTCAAAGTCTCTAAACCTCACAGTCACAGTGACAGTCAATGGGCCATGCGGGCCACCAGCAGAAAATCTGGGCATTGTCAGCTTCGGATCTTGAGATCAAGTAGTGTAGATCACCAGAAATTAGACATTGTGGTGGTCCCTTCATTAAAGAAAAATTAAATAAAGCTAAAATGAAAGAACATGGACATTTTTTTATATTAAATATATGTGGGTGATGTTGGATCATCGTCTAGATGGGATGTGAACGGGCAACTATATATAATAATAATTCATTCCTTGAAAATTACATAGATGGTTCCACAATCATTCAGGGATTAACTCGTAATTTCATTTTAAACAATTTTGATATTTCTACTCCCTACCTCAATTACAATTTTGGCGTTTTAGATTACTTAAACACGTTTGATGCCGTGGATTCCACGGCTCTACTCATTTTTCCTCTAAGATTGTTCTACTTGTAGCTCAAATTGATTTCGTGAAGTTGGATAAATTACATCACACACGATTTATCATTTATTATTTTAATTTATTTTTAAATTCTTTCACAAACCATCAAAAATTCTCATATTATAATAAGGATAATTTGCATTTACACTTCTTCAAATTTGTAATAAAAATGGGTAGATACAATTTAAGAACAGTGTAATCCAATTGTCCCAAGTTTGCAAACTTGAATAACAACACTCTTGTGGCGACCTTGTAAGCGGGTTGTGGCGACCTTGTAAGCGGGTGTGTGTGAATGAATGCAGGTGGCACCAGTAGGCTACCACACTAGGCAAGTTACATGTGCACAATCTCACATTATATGGGTGTAGATGGAGCAAGTGCTATATGTAGATTCAACACACACAATGCATTTTAAAGCCGTGAACCTACCAGAACTCCGGAATTAAGTGTGCTTAACCTGGAGTAGTATTATGATGGATGACCCTCTGGTCGGGGAGAGCTAAAAACAGACAATATTGTGTTTGGTTAGAATGAGGGTCGTTACAAATAGTATCATAGTCTGACCTAACCGGAAGTGTGGCTAACGATGATATTGGCCCCAAAAGGGAATGATTGTGACGACCTTGTGGGCGGATGCGAGGCACTGGTAGGCTACCACACTGGGCGAGTTACGGGTGCACAATCCCACATCGCCTAGGTAAATGAAAGGTGAAGTGCTTATATGTGGTAGTGTTATCTCCAATTGGTTTGAGGCCTTTTGGGTAAAGCTCAAGAGCAAAACTGTGCGGGCTCGGGCCCAAAGCGAACAATATCATATCATATGGTGGAGTGGGTCGTTACAAATTGTATCAGAGTTTGACCCAACCGGAAGTGTGGCCAACTAGGACGTTGGGGCAACCTTGTAGGCGAATGTGTGTGAGTGTGTACAGGTGGCACCATTAAGCTACCACACTAGACAAGCTACAGGTGACTTTTAAAGTCGTGATGGCCGTGAACTTTACCAGAATTCCAGAATTCTACTCTAGAGTTAAGCGTGTTTAACCTGAAGTAGTACTAAAATGAGTAACCCTTTAGGAAGTCTCTGGTCCAGGGAACCAAAAGTGGGCAATATGGTGTCTGACTAGGATGAGGATCGTTACAAATTGTATCAGAGCCTAACCCAGACAGAAGTGTGGTCAACAAGGATGTTGGGCCTCAAAAGGGGATGATTGTAGCGACCTTGTGGGTGGGTGTGCCATGGGAGGATACGAGGCACTGACAAGTTACCACACTGTGCAAGACGTAATTATCATTTAACTTTTGAATTGATCCATTTAAATCATTAAAGTACAATATTAACTTTTATAAGTTTTTGTATTTGACCAAAATGGCTTCAGCAAAAAAAAATAATACTAAAAAATAAAAAATAATATTCTCTAGCACTGTAGCCACCAATGCCATATGCATACAAACAGAGGCGAAGCCAATAATTTTTAATCGAACGAAGGGGGGGCAAACTAGTAATGTAAAATTAAAAATTAAAAATTAAAAATAATATAAAATCATTGTAAGAATTTTTTTTTTTTTTTTTTTTTTTTTGCATATAATGCCCTCGTTAAAATAGATGGATTAATTATATTATCTAATATTTCTAATACAAAACTGTGACTTTCCATCTCAAAAAGTAAGAAATATGATTTTTAAATATTTGTTTTATTATTCCATAGTAATATACTAAATATTAAAAGATCATTTTTAATATTCATACATTAAATATCACCTTCAAGTAATCACACATAAGCTAATCTTTTTATTTCTTAGTGTTTGCTGTAACATTACATATAAAACATGTCACATTTTTCTTCCACAAAAAAGAAAAAGAAAAAAGAAACCCATGTCAATAAAATCATATATTTGCTTTTTCATTCTTGAGGGTGATTTTGGTTAATTAATAGAAGGTTATAAAGGTAATTTAATAATTCACATAAGTCAATTCGAAAGTCAAACGTGAAGTATGTACTTTTTTCATGGTTGGGGATTGTATTCATTTTACCGAACCTGTGAGTGTTATCATCCGAAAAGTACTTAAATTGTAGATAACTGTCTTTAACCTGGATATAAGTGCAATTAATCCTTATAATAATATATATTATATTGTATTTTATAAATAAAAAAATTAAAAAAATTGATAAGACTGTCATTTTATAAAATTTGAGAAAATAATAAATGTGTTGTGTGAAATCTCAAGAGGTCTATCTTATATAATTTGCACAAATTTTAATGGGTCAGTAAAAAAAAAAAAAATCTAACATCAAAATTTATATTAAAATTAAATCACATTCTGATCTAACTTTAATCTTTTGTACAGTAGCCTTTAGCGTCGTAAATGTGGCCCTTCAATGATTTTGTTGGAACTGGTAGGTGGGGTTTTGTCGGTACCCGTCCTTACGTCCAGGTTCTCATTTTCCTACTCCCTCTACTGATTATTGATTTCTTAGATTCCACTTTGTGATTGTGTAGCAGATGTGGTCGTTCTATAGTATGATGCGCGATACATCATCGTCTTTTTCATTTTTGTCATTTTTTTTCTATTTCCTTTTTTTCTTTTTCGACTTTAATATCTAATTGGACCAATCATAATGAGTGGGTCCCAATAAAAGACTTTTGGTGCACGTGGTAGGACAAAGAAAGAGCTAAGAACCACCCGTATCCGTAGTGGCACATGGGGCGAAAAATATTACTCGTATAGTCGTATATAGGTTCTGTTGTTTACATTTGATACTACATAGTACGAACACAATTACACATATATACAGAGTATATATATTTTTATAGTGAATAATTAAATAAACATAAAAAAAACGTGAAGGGTCCATTATTTTTGTGCGCAAAATGTATTAATTTAAAGGATAGTCCATGACCAAAAAAAATTTATGACCTTGATTCCATTACAGATTTGCTCACATGTTATGTTTCTGAACAGTTACACTAATTAATCTCACGGCATTCTCAGTCTTAATAATATTTGTATTCAAATTAAAAGAAATTTTATTATGAGAAAGAGGGTAAAGAACGTGTAATTTAAATTCTCACCACTCCTAATGAGAGTGGATATTGCGTGGGCTGTTTTGCTATATCATTAATCATTTAATAAAATATATTATATTATTTTGTTATCATGAATTTTATAAATAAGTGGACAATTTTTTTTTGAAATAGTATAGTGTGATTGGATGGGTATATTAATAACATGAAGTGCACGACGCACTCAATATGTTCCACTCCCTAAAGGGATGAGTTCAAAATCATCTAAATAATAAATTAGTAATAGCGATTTCGAAAGTGAGTTTAAAACTTATCAAATCTCGAATCTGCCCTTATTAATAATAAATACATAAATAAATATTTTTATAGTAGCTATAAGTTTTCTTTTTCCTTTATATCTTGTAACTATTTTACATTTTAATAACATTTTTTGTTATTATATTTATTAGATAATTAATTATACTTAAAAAAAAAATTACAAAATAAATTTTAAAATGTGACGGGTTTGAGAGATATGTTTCGTTACTCACTCCCACACATCAGAGACATTGTTTCTTTTTTTTGGTTAAAGAGAGACATTGTTTCCTGAGACGATTGGAAGGGAAAGTTTTGTTGACATCAATTCTTAATTTATTATTATTATTTTTTTTTAACTCAGCTGACACACATACTAGTATATACTCAAAGCTAAAGCAATTAAATCAAAATTTTGTAATAGATTTTGGTCTCTTTTGAAATGACACGTCTAGTGTACAAAGGGCGCTGCGGCATTTCTACAACGTGTATATGTAAATGGTACTTACCTGTTCCAAAGACGCCGCTATAAAGACTTCTTCCCAAGAACTTTTGAGACCCGCTCCAACAATCTCTCCCCCCAAACATAGAGAGAGAATAAAAGAAAAAGAAAATGGCCTCCGTTTCTTCTGCGAATTCCATTCTCTCCCCTCTTTTTACCTCCCCTTCTCCTTCTTCTTCACCTTCACCTTCACCTTCACCTTCACCTTCACCCAAATCCTCCCACCTTTCCTTCCTCCATACCTCCACACCAAACACCATTTCCTTACAAATCAATCAGTCTCACTCTCACTCTCGCTCTAAACTCCCATCTCATCCTTTGCTAGTTCGAAACGTTCTCAACGTCGTCGAATCGCCGGAGATAGTGATCTCCAAACGCCGAGATCTTGATTTTACGGCAACACAGTCAAAGCCGACGATCCTCGTCTCGGAGAAGCTCGGCAAGGCCGGTCTCGAGCTGCTTCGGAGCATCGGCAACGTCGACTGCTCGTACGGTCTCTCGCCGGAGGAGCTCTGCTCCAAGATCTCGCTGTGCGATGCGTTGATTGTGAGGAGTGGGACGAAGGTCACGCGGGAGGTGTTTGAGGCAGCCAAGGGACGCTTGAAGGTGGTGGGAAGGGCTGGTGTGGGGATCGACAATGTGGATCTTCAGGCAGCCACCGAGTTCGGATGCCTCGTCGTCAATGCGCCGACCGCCAACACCATCGCCGCCGCCGAGCACGGCATTGCGTTGCTCGCCGCCATGGCGCGTAATGTGGCTCAGGCCGATGCTTCCATGAAATCTGGTATATATAGAAGATTCCTCTTAGTTAATTCTTTGAATTGTTTTGTCCTGGATTACTGTTTTGCATTCAAATTGTTTAGATCTGATATCGATATTGAACCATTTGATCGTGCATCAGAGATTATAGAAGACAAAAAGTAGTAATGGAGAGGTCCAATAATGCTGCGTGGGTAGAGAGAAAGTGAGTGAAATTTTGTTTCTAAAGATTGTGGTGACTAATTGAGCTATATTTTCTTCATTTTGGACTAAAATTCTGTATAGAAATTATATTTATTCATTTTAAGCAAAAAATTATTTACGGAGGTGACAGTAACATTGTTGAAAATATAGTAGACATTAGGGATCATTGCTTCTTGCAACTATGCTAACTCAAGCTGATAAGCATGAAGAACTTTAAGGTCTCGTTCTCCAAACGGAACGGGGCCAGGCCAAAAAAAGCATGAAAGGTCAAGCATATATGTTTTATGAAATGATCCATTACTCAATGGCTTTCAATTTCCTTCGCCCATTTTTTCTCGTTCTCGCTCGGGAGCCACATCTATTGGGCGAAAAAGCTTAGACCTGCCTGGTCAACGTTCTGCCACGCCTGCGGATCTGCTTCCTGTTGCAGGTGGAACCAAAAATTCTTGTTGTGCCCCCAAATTTATTTTGGTTCAAATCGTTAGCGGAAATAAGCAAATGATTTTTTCACTTCTACACGTAACGTAATCGAATTGTTACAAGGGCGCAAACCGCCGGAAATCCATCTATATGATAGGATCAATAAAAAGAGAAGAATGAAATATTCTCCGAATTCTTCATTGATAAGTCTAAAAAAAGGATTTGCTTTGTGCAAAAATAATGTAACTTGGTCTATGGGGTGTAGATCATGGATGCTTGAAACTCGATCTAATGGTAGCACTAATTCTAGTTAAATATACTGTTTTGCTCTATCTTTATACAGGAAAATGGCAACGGAACAAGTATGTTGGTGTTTCTCTGGTTGGGAAGACATTAGCAATTATGGGATTTGGAAAAGTTGGATCTGAAGTTGCAAGACGAGCGAAAGGCCTCGGGATGCATGTCATTGCGCATGATCCATACGCCCCAGCTGATAGAGCCCGTGCTGTTGGTGTTGATTTGGTTTCCTTTGATCAGGCCATCTCCACTGCAGATTTCATTTCACTCCATATGCCGCTCACTCCTACTACCTCAAAGGTATTCAATGACGAAGCTTTTGCAAAGGTGAAGAAGGGAGTCAGAATCATAAATGTTGCCAGGGGAGGTGTTATTGATGAAGATGCATTAGTGAGGGCGCTTGATAGTGGCGTAGTTGCACAGGTATGCTTCTTTGATTCATGGCAATAATGCTGATCTTCTGTGTGAAATGTTTGCTATGCTGTTGAGTGTGTGTCTAATTTAGAAGGACTTGATTTGTTCTCATTCTGGTGTGTAACAGGCAGCACTTGATGTGTTCACGGAGGAGCCCCCGCCCAGTGATAGCAGATTAGTGCAACATGAGAATGTCACGGTCACTCCTCATCTTGGAGCTAGCACAAAGGAAGCACAGGTTTGAATCCTTTGGGCGTGTATAAACCATATTTGTTATTTCTTTGATACTCACTAATCCCTTTAACCATTCGTTTCAAATTGTATGTTAATTTCAGGAAGGTGTTGCTATTGAAATAGCTGAGGCTGTTGTTGGGGCGTTGAGCGGGGAACTTTCCGCAACCGCTGTCAATGCTCCTATGGTCCCTGCTGAGGTTTCAATGCTATGCACAAATACTTACGTATATATGGCACCACGATTTTGTGCTTCTTGCCGGAGAAAAGCTAAGTTCTCTCTCTTATTTTCAGGTTATCTCAGAGTTGGCTCCTTATGTTGTTCTAGCCGAGAAGCTGGGTAGGTTAGCAGTACAGTTAGTGGCCGGGGGGAGTGGAATTCAATCCGTGAAGATGATTTACAGAACAGCTCGAGACCCGGATGACTTAGACACAAGGCTTCTCCGGGCAATGATCATAAAAGGCATCATTGAGCCAATATCCGACTCATATATCAATCTGGTGAATGCAGATTTCACAGCGAAGCAGAAAGGTCTCCGCATCAGTGAGGAACGAGTGGTTGTTGACTCATCCCCTGAGCACCCTGTTGATTCCATTGAGGTGCAAATAAGCAATGTGGGGTCAAAATTCGCAAGTGCTTTGTCGGAGAATGGAAATATTAGCATAGAGGGGAGAGTGAAGTATGGGAAACCTCATCTATCACGTGTGGGAACGTTTAGTGTGGACGTGAGCCTGGAAGGAAACCTCATACTCTGCTGTCAAGTGGACCAACCTGGCATGATCGGACGAGTTGGAAACATTCTTGGGAAGCATAATGTGAACGTGAGCTTTATGAGTGTGGGAAGGACTGTTAAGAGGACAAAGGCCATCATGGCAATTGGCGTCGATGAAGAACCAGACAAGGATACCCTCAAGAAAATAGGGGAGGTACCCGCCATTGAAGAGTTTGTTTTCCTTAATCTATAGGGTACATTGACAAAAAATGCCGGGTTAATTGGAAGGAATGGAGTTAATAAACTTGTAGATCTTGAGAAAACCCGTATTTGCTTTGCTATGGCAGACATGAGAATAAGAACTGGTTGGCACACAACTAAAGTGGTCACCTCTGCCGGTCCATGGTTGCTGGAATTTGAGCTTATACAGTGATATTATGTCGCCCTGCTAGATTCAGTATTCTTGTTGGTTATGGTCAGGTGGGTGCGTTCCTTTGTCTACTTAAGTCGTTTGTAAAGTTTCTTGTGGTTGTCTTTATGGTTGGTGGTGGCGGTGGCGGTGGTGGCGGTTGTATTGGTAGTGTCTATGGCCTTGTGGAATCTCTAGTTGAGTTTCACCTAATGATGAAGCTTTGTTTTTCTACTGTAACCTTTTCTAAGGGTAGCCTCAGGTGATATCCCACATGTAATCTGTGTTTGATCAATTTTAGTGAGATGTGATAATTCTATTAAGTGTTAGTTCCAACAGATACTGATGTTTTTACATGTGCTGATACCCACAACTAAATGAAGCTACTGATGTTTTACATGTGCTGAGACTCAACTAAATGAATGATGCAAGCATTTAACCCTTACTAGCATCTATTTGAATTATCGGTTTGGAGTATGGGTGAAAAATCCTAAAATAGGCATCGGAAAACAACATTTTTTTTTTTGTACTATTGCGGGACAAAGCTATATATGCTGGCTTTTCAATTCGAATATGTAGAATAATTCTCCTATAATGAGATTGAACTTTCTCAAGCAAGGACAAAGGACAAGATTTTTACCTGACTTTTCTTCCTTCTAGTGAAGTAAAAAGGTGAACCTACAACCCCAATGGGTTGGCCAAGTGGGTAAATCGCTTAATCTTGATGACTCACGAAGGTCTAAGATTTACCTCCTTTTGAGTATCTTCACCAAACCCAGCTTCACTCAGAAGGTGACGTCCAACACTCCATTATCAGTAAACTCCATTTATCTTCACCAAACCCAGCTTCACTCAGAACGTGCCGCTGCTGTCTAACAAATCCAACACCGTCTTCACCAATCCCATGTTCAATTTGCAGACATTCGTGGCTTGATAATCCTTTGACTAACCATCGAGTATGTATATAGTCTCTGCAAACCGAGCAGGACAATATTAAAACTCCACTCATCTTCTAAACAAAGAAACCTGAAACCAAGTTGATGAACAGCTCACTTCATTAGCTTGTACAGACTCTGCATAGCACTAACTCCCTAGAATCATGTTGTTGGAAGGACACGATTGAAAAACAAGAGAAAGCAAACAAACATTTCATTGGTATAAAAGGTGCCACGGCCCTCCTCATCAATTACCCCGTCCCCCCCCCCCCCCCCCAAATTCCTGAGACTTGCACCAACACGAAACAACTCCCACCACCAACCAAAACTGGAACGTACACAACAATACGGCACCTGGAACAACTATTGGCTTAACCATATCCCATGACCATGGTGGTCACCAATCATGCACAATGATATCAAACCAGGAACATACTTTTGGATGCAAGATGAACCACAATACTGAGTTCCTGGATCAATCATCTTAAGCTGCCCCACGACCATTCAGTATCATTATATCATATAGAAAATTCAGCAATGAGAGTCAAAATTAACAAGTGAATTGAAAATCTGAAGAACCTCTCATCCTGCAGTTCCTGTAATCAGGCCGTGGTATTTATTTTTATGGTTAGTAACTTAGAATAAACACAATCCACCATCTGTTTGATCTCTAAAAGGCTTCAATAAGTCATATTTAACCAACAGCAATTGTAAGGGAATTAAATGGTTCAGCCACAACCTGTAACCTGCTTGGTGAGACCCAACTTTGAAACTGATGATCACTAAACTAAAATGATTTGGTGCATTACTTGCATGATGAGATGGTTCCAAATATAATATAGATTTGAAATTTATATTATATGGACATGGTAATCAGACGGAGGCAACCAATAAGCATAGAATACAAGTACAAATCATGTCAAAACATGTGCAAGATAGCAGGAAGGTGAGAGAAATACAAAGGCTGCGCCATCTGAGACCCCTTTGTAGTCTAAACATACATCATTATCGCAATAAATGTCCTTAGAAATTCCAATAAATCCGCTTCCAACACTAATGCAACACACAATAAGCTGTCAGCCATGCACCACCAAGAGCCACCATCATTTTGCACTGGAAAAAAAAAAAAAAAAAAAAAAAAACACGCACAGAATGAATTGTTAGATGCATGTTTGTGTGCTAACATGAGTTCACATGCATATGAGAAAATGAATTATAGCATTACATACGTGTTCATCATCAGCGTGATGTTGTCCCCTTTTAGTAGGATCCTCCCTGATCAAAAGTAATATATATACATTTAAAATGTGAACCACATGAAAAAATCTAGTAATGAATGCATATTAAATACTATTCGGTTACTCACCCAACGGCTTTCTGCTCTTCTTCTTTACATTGACTTCCTCAGCATCCTCCAGAACCAAATTCATATACTCATCAAACCCCTAAACAACACAAAAATCCAAAATTCTAATATCTGATGCTTTATTGGCAGGCATGGATGTATCTGACTTAAATTAAACAGGAATGTGATATAATTTAAACAGAAAACAATCAAATCTTATATTTTTTTTAGTACAATTAGTGAAGGAACTCTCATGGTTCAGTATTTGCATATCCATTCAAGCTATGTTACCGAGATTTGAATCGTGCTGGTGCGGGTGTATGTCAGACCTCAAATTCCAAATCTTAGGATACAAAAATATGTGTTCAAAAATTGGACACGGACATGTACTACGCATGTAAAAACACTATATGTTTTATCATATTGTAATGTTTAATGTTGACGTTCTATAAGAATATACTCATCTATTACTCAAACTAAATGGGATGTAGTAAAAGAAGGAGAAAAAAAAAAAAAAAAAAAAAAAAAAAAATCTATCCAAAGATAGGAAACTTATCTCTTAAATTTTAGATTTTCTTATTTGTCAATCATGCCATGTGAAGGATCACATGGACCAATTGGGTTCGTGTGTCAGAGACATATACTGTGCCCATACCCATGTTGTCGTGTCAACACAAGTACATGAACGTAATGTAAAAAAGCATTGTAGGACACATTGGCACAAAGATGTATGTGCCAGAAGCATGCTACATTTCAAAGGCATCAATCTGTATTCGTTCTACATGAGTAGAACACTTGGGCGAGTGCACAAGAGCAGAAACAATTTTTCACGTTAAAACCTATGCTACTAGAATTGATGCCAGATTGAAACAAGTGTTCGTATTGTAATTAGATGACATGCAAATTTAAAGGCAGATTTTACATTAGAGAGTTTCAAATCTAGGAGTGTACTTTCCCCAACTAAAATTTATGCAGTACATTGGAATATTTGTACATTGACAACTTGGGCAATTGGGTTGTTTCTTGCTGTTTGATATGTGCCCAGAAATTCAAGTATTTTATTATCCATGAAGAATAAGAGGTAGTAGTTTCAAAATCTTAGTAACTTTTCTCTGCTATAATTTTTTCCCCAAAAAACATTTTCCACAAAATCAAACACATCAAAAAATAGTGGGGTTGTGGGGAGGGGAAATAAATATATTACATGAAGAACAATCAATATGAATAAACAAATGACATTTAAGTGTGATAAACATACAATAATCCGTCCTTCGATCCTCAAGTCCTTCTGCTCGAAAAGCCATATCTGGATGCGAGCTTTCTGTTTCATTTCAAACAAAGAGTATAACGAAATTAGAGAAAATCACACGCAAAAAGGAACAAAGAACAAAATTAGGATCGCACTTACACTTTGAAGGAACCTGAAGATTAGATTCTGAAACCACGATCATACATGAAACAATATATATACACGTTAAATTAGTGAATCAAACCAAATATAAAAGCACGTAAAACTTAAATTTCTGGAATAGAACGCACAGGTACTGATTTTATTCAATGATCCACCGTTGATACAAACACACTCCCATATATATATACACACACACACACACGTACATACATATATAGATAGAGAGAAATTGGTGAACGTACAATGGGTTGGGTCATGATCCTCTGAACTTTGGTCGCCATGGCTGATTCTTGGCTCAATCCTCTGGCAGAAGCGTAGAACAAAACCCTACCAGTAAAACCCTAGCCCTAATTCACTCTCTTGCTGTGAGGTTTTTTCTCAGGTCGCTTGTATATTTACGGGCTATGTTTTTTCCTTTTCCTTTTTTGTTTTTTTTCGCCAACTTATATTCTCTTTTCCTTGCGAATTTTGACTTGGAATCCCGAACCAATTCCAGAACCAGGCTTTTAAAATTGGAGTAAAAGATAAAATTTTATTACAAATCCATGTAAATTAATTGTATGAATATGTGAAATCAAATATGTACAAACTTAAATCAAACTACTTCTAAATCCTACTCCACCCATCAAAAAATTTATCATACCAACTCTGCCTCTGTTTCACAACGGGTTTGTAATTATTATATCATTTACATCACATGTGTTCTGTTTATTGCGGGGTACAGAGTGAATGGGCCAGGCTATGCCACTTTTATTATGTAGTACAAGTAAAAAAAAAAAAAATGTTTAAATTGTACTGACAAATAAGTTGACCTAATTTTTAAATTACTAAGTATTATACATTAATAGATTAACAGACAGTAAAGTAACAAAGAGTCTAAAAAATATAAAAAATATATTTTATATACAAAAAAAATTAAAAGATACATGTATAATCAGGCACGGGTCGGGCGGGGTTATTACTGAATCTACTTCCGCCCTAAACCCGCTTTGGGTTTTCAATTATTTTACCATACTCGTTCCATACTCATTTAAGGGCGCCACTAAATCCAACCCGTTAGGGGCGTGGGCGTAAACCCGCCGGTTTGAGGGAAATTGCCATCCCTTTGGGTAGGATTTGAATTTAATGTTTTTTTATTTTTATTTTGCCTCGAGGTCATTTTGTGTTGACTTATTTCAAAATTTTAAGATTTACATAAATAAGAAGGGGCTTGGGGGTATTTGGGGTTTGTTTTGAGATTTTTATTAAAAAAATTGAAGACAAAAATACTTGGTTTTGTATAAAATAATAATAATAAAAAAAACTGGTCAAAATTGACTATCAAGGAACAATTTGTTAGAAAATTTCAAATTATAGAAATATATACATACTAAATAGTAAAGATATTTTTAAAGCACCTCAATTCCTAAATGGCTAGTTAGAACCATTGTTTTTATTGCTAAATTTGAAAAATGTAGAACTTCTTTTGAACACCAGAAAAATATTTGCACATTTTGTATATAAAGTTAATTTTTATTATTATTATTTTTTAACATTTTACCTATAATATTTATCCCTTTTCATAGAATAAAAAGACAATTTTATTTCTCCTTTTAGAGGCTTACTATGAATCTATAATCAAATATAGTTACTTACAATATTACCAATAAAATTATTTTAAACACTTTAGTGGTTAATGAAAAAGATAAAAACTTACCAAGGCTCTCTTTACCTTATAAGAGCAGGTCCAACAGCCGAGACTTTAGAGATTCTGGACCGTTTTTCACTATTGGACTACTCGAATAACATCTCCAAAAAAATGGGCCCCATCTAATGGGTTGCAGTATTCAGCGACCCTCTTAGCGAGCATGCCTCTGCTTTGTTTTATTTTCCTAGAATGTTGTTTTAGCACAAAACGTTGTTCCTAAGGGCATGTTTGGCTAAAATAAAAACTAAAAATCATATTTTTAGTCTCTCTTTTTTTTTTTCTCAAAATAATTGAACCAAAGAGCCGTTAAGACACTGTTTCGCTGACACAAACAGTGCCTTAAAGGTTTTTTTGGGCAAAAATATTTTTTTAAATTTGAAAAAAAGTGATTTTATTTCATTTTCAAAATTTTCAATATTCCTATTGATATTATAGCCGTTTTATGTACTATTTGGCTGACCCAAACAGTGCCTTAACGGCTATATTGGCTAACCAAACAAACTTTTTTTATTTGTTTTCCCTAACAAATTGAAATTTATTTTAAAATGTGATTTTTTTATAAATAAAAAAATATGTCTTTGCTTTCACTATAAATTAATAAGTCAAATGATATTAGATATTGTATTGTTACAAGATTCCATACATATTGGCTAAATAATTTAATCAACAAACAATTTAATTATTTATTTCAAAATAAAACATTACTGAATAAATATTCCATTACATAAACTTCATAACAATTTAAAAATAAAATAATGGAACATAAATTACACACTTTCTTCATGAAAACGGTTCCACAAATTTTCAATTAAATCTTTCATCAACCACGTATTTGTTTATTTGTTGCAAATTTGGACTTGACGAGAGTAGATGTGTGCCGCTAAAACTGATAGATTTTGAATTAAAGTGGGAATCGAAATTGTCTCCTCCGGTGGCGAAATCCATCTTCCAACATTGGCATGGCGCTCATCTTCAATGATTATGTTGTGAAGGATGATACACATTTTCATTATAAGGCACAAGTCCCCTTTATCCCAAAAACGCAATGGTCGTTGCATTATTACCCACTTGCTTTGCAAGACCCGAAAAGCTTGTTCCACATCTTTCTTACAGGCCTATTGTCTTTGAGTAAAAAGTTTTTATTTTTGCTGTAGTTGGTTGCGGGATGGTCTGCATCAAAGTTGCCCACTTAGGGTATATACCATCAGATATGTAATACCCTATTCTATGGTAATGGCTATTCACAACGAAATAAACCGGAGGAATATGGTCAGTAACGATACTGTCGAATACCAGAGAATAATTTAGCATATTAATATAATTGTGTGAACCTGGCATTCCAAAGAATGCATGCCAGATCCACAAATCTTTTGAGGCAACTGCTTCCAATATAAGTGTAGGCGTATGAGAGTGTCCTTTGTGCATGCCATGCCACGCTACCAGACAATTCTCCACTCCAAGTGCATACAGTCGATAGAACCAGGTATACCCGAAAATCCTCTCTCATCCCTTTCTCGAAGTAGTTATGCTATGTCGGCTTCATTGGGTGGGCGTATATACTCTTCCCCATACACACCAATAACGGCCTTACAAAATGTCATCAGGGTTTCAATGGCAGTGCTTTCGCATATTTTAATATACTCGTCACAATGATTGGGTGCACAACCATATGCGAGTATACGTATTGCAGTTGTCATCTTTTATATAGAAGACAACCCCAAACGACCTGTTGCATTCCTTTTTGAGATGAAGTAGTCGTCATAAACTTTAACATCATTCAGGATACGAAGAAATAGTTCTCGTCGCAGCCTGAATCATCTATGAAAGTGCTCCAGTGGATATGTGCAATTCTCGCTAAAGTAGTCCTTCATTAGTTGACGGTGGCTTCCCTCTCGATCAAGATGAATGTACCGCCTTTTACGCGGTTTAAAAATTTGCTCTACTATCTCTGGGTTCACTGAATTCAAAATCAAACGAAACGTGTCTTGATTATGCTGAATCGTCGCATCAATAAGGTTATCTGATGAAGGAGATGAATAATTAGAGCTTGACAAAGGAAAAAATCGTGATGAGGAAGCCATTAGAATTTTGAGATTGAAGGAGATATAAATTGATATTTTGCTAGAATAAATTGAGATGAATGTAACGATGATGAGATGAACAAATGGTTGTTTATATAAGATGGAAAATATAACGGTTAGAAATATAGTTGTTAGGAAGAAGTTAAAAAATAATACTTATTAAAAATTTTAAAAATATTAATATTTTTAGAGAGCGAAAATGCACCATTGGAGTACATGCGATGGTTAAAATTTGGAGACTCTAAAATGCTGACGTGGTTATAAGAAATACTGACGTGACTATTGAATGGCAAATTAGGAAAGCCTAATTCTAGAGAGCCCATTGAAGATGATCTAAAGCGGATGGTGAGGATTCGAGTCTCTAAAGAGACAAAATGGGTATGTGAGTTTCTTGTTAATTAAAAAAAAAAAAAAGTACTTTTATTATTCTATTTTTTATTAATGAACAAAATATTTTGTTCAAATAAATTTTTTTCACAATTAATATTATCAAATATATGTATTTTTTTTGTTTCACTTGGGAGAAAATTTGTAAATATTGGAAGGGGTGTAATTACAAATGCCAAAAAACTTAGGGGTGGGAAGGTTGGGGTTTTACAGAAGTTACCCACTCATATTATTCATCGCTGTACCCCCATTTTCTCTCTCTAGGGTTTTAATAGTGCCATTGCAAGAGGATTAATCGAGACATGGCTGGGACTGGAATCCACCCATTCCATCATCAATGGCCGCCGGCAGCTGCCCCTCCGCCGGCTGCTGCGGCCGCCGTTCCGCCTCCTGCGGCGCATCATCTCCCTCCTTCCATGACCATGGATAACTCCCGTCTCTCCACCGACGAGGTAACATTCTTTATCTACAATTTTCTTTCTCTCGTCAATCTCAATTACTTTGCTTATTTCTAATAGATCAATGTACTAGCAAACAAAATGTGTTTCATACATGTATTTTTTTATTTTTTTATATAGGTTAGGACGATCTTTATTTCTGGTCTTCCCGAGGATGTGAAAGAGAGAGAACTACAGAACCTGCTGAGATGGTTGCCAGGTTACGAAGCTTCGCAGGTTAACTTCAAAGGCGAACACCCCATGGGTTTTGCCCTATTCTCGACCCCTCAGCATGCTATTGCGGCCAAAGACGCTCTTCAGGTAACTTAAGGATTATTTTATTCCGAAGTTCCTGGTTGAAGTTTTGTGTTTTTTGTATGTTTAGAAGTAATTGGTAATTGATTATTTTTTGGCTTGTTTTTGGGGTTCAGGAGATGGTTTTTGATGCAGAGTCGAAGTCGGTGTTGCACACCGAAATGGCAAAGAAGAATCTTTTTGTCAAAAGGGGTGAGTTTTCTCTTTCTATTTCATGCTTTCTTTACTTCAAAGGGGAGAAAGAAAGTACATTATCTTCTTTCTGAATGCTGAACTACCGTTGAAGAGAAAGCAAAGTGAAATTATATATTGCTGTTGGTTTTTGTTTTCTTGGCTCATAGATAATGAGGAAAGTCTCAGCATCAGAACTCAATTTCCTTTTCTTTTCACCCCTTCATTTGTTTTTGCTGTTGTCATAGTTGAGATGGAGCATCAGTGAAATATGGTTCATTGATGGGAAAATGCAGGGAAAAGAGGGAATCCTACAATGGTAATCTATGTGTTTATCTTTAACCAAGTAAAAGATGAATGTATATGAATTCCTTCAATGAGTTATGGAAAATGGTTGAAGAAGAGTGTCATTCTTACACTTAAAAGTTCCATAGGGTCTTTAGGGTAGTCCATGCTTGAAAATTGGTTCTTGTTTTGGTGAGCAGAATGTTCATTTGGCCAGCTATAAAAAGGTGACAGGATCCAAGATGGACAATCATAATGAAAAGTGAGGGAAAGAGACGAGATAATTTCATCATTTTCCTTTTCATTCCTTTACGAAGGAAGATATGTAGTTTTAAGGGATAAGTCATTTCCAGAAAAAGCGAACTATGGGTGTTAAGGCGGAACACCCCACTAGGCATAACATCCTTTTTATAAACTAATAGCAGGCCAAATAAAGCCATATAATTTTGACTTGGATATTTCCAATTCTCATGAGAATTGTGGACCTCAGTTATTTACCCATAACTGGAGATAAAAGAAATAAATCATAAAGATTGGAGGAAACCTATATATAGCAATTGTGGGACGCCAATTATTTTTGGGCTCAACTCTTCTTTAGTTATCCTTAGATGTTGTGCGAGATGACTGGACATAAGATCTTGGTTTTTGTGATTTCAATCTGACACTTTAAAGAATCATTTGTGCGTAGTAGATGGTATTGATAGGTTTTTTAGCCATGCATGGTGAATTACATGATTAGACTAGATGACTAGTGTGCAACTGCAATACCAGGTTCCTCGAAAAGTGGGTTTAGTAACTTTAGTACCCATGAAGGTTTATTCCCCATCAATCTAACGGGCAGCATCTATATGTTTTATGCAAAGGTGTTGGGTTTCATATAGAAGTATGATCAGTTTATTTATTTGTTTTTGTTGGAGCGCTGCCAAGAGAATACAAAAAAGCCAACTACAACTTTAAGTTATCAACATCCATAAGATCCCCCACAGATTTACAATTCACGCATTTACCCAAAAGAATAAAGAGCTTAAGATGACCTATTTTAGAGACCGAATAGGGTCTTCTCTCCATCAAAGGATCTCTAATTTCCCTCGCATCACAAACCCCACCATAAGCAAAGGGGAGTGGCCCTCTAAGCATCTCTGACTTGGCTTTCCACTATACACCCTCTCCAAGCTTCGATCATGTCAACCGTAGAATTGGAAGACAACAAAAATGTACCGAAAGCTGCCAAAAACATAGACCAAACACCCCACGCGACTGGACAATGTAAAAGAAGGTGCTTCACCAACTCCTCTGCCTTCTTGCACATGCAACACTAGTTCACAATAATGCCTCCTTATGAGATTGTCTAAGTTCTAAATCCTCCCAAGCACAACTGAGCATGCAAGTGGCTTTCAATCTTCAGATGGCCTTTCATGGAAACGCGAGACCTTGGATCTTCAGAAGTCTCCTATAGAAGGATCAAATATCAAAGACTCCTCTTTGGGAGCCTGTCCAAATCATTTCATCCATTCTCTCTCCCTCCACCGTTTGACTGTATAAAAAAGCTAGTAACTATGCTACCTCCGCAAACTCCCAATTATGGAACTGTCTCTGTAACTGCAAGTCCCAAGTCATCCTCCCACTATCAAGACGATAATAATCCGTATCTGTAGCGCTCTTAAAAAGCCATGGCAACCTATAAGCCATAACAATGGCAAGTGAGGTTATAATGAAGAAGGGTGGTAAGAATGTTACTTGGCAGGTGGTTAGAGTTGAATAAGCATTTTATGTTGGAGTGCTGCTCTACTTTGTTCCATATAGTTTTTATTGAAGAAAGCTGATGAAAGAGATGGAAGAACCTAATGAAACTTCTGTTGAAAGGAGCTTCCTCTTGTTAGGTTTAAGATGGTTATTTATTTATTTATTCGTTTTAATGAGACAATGTTCTTGTAAGTTTTTACTTGCTATGTTTGAGTGCTTTCATAAGATGCTCTTACTACATTATAATAGAATTGTCCAAAACTGTTTAGAAAATCAATCTTCATAACAATGACTTATGAATGTAGTCACCGGTAAAAATAGAAAAAAAGGGGAAAAGAAAAAAGAGAGGATGCTGAATTGCCATTTCATCTTCACCTGACATGATGACATGGCTGCCACAATGGTAGAGACCTAGTATGGGGATTGTGATAATCTCTTAATAATGCCCTTTTCCTAAATCATTTTTAAGGGGACGAATAGATTGTCGTACCACAGAGACATCGAACTGGAGCTTATCCTTGGGGATTAGTCTGGGCAAAGCCCCAAATACCCCAGGTTAATCTAATAAAAATAAATAAATAAATAAACTGGAGCTTAGATTTTTATAATGTATGCGTGTATGTTCTATTTATGTGATCTTAAAAATGTTTTAGTAGATTTGGAAAGATGCCTAACTCGACATCAATAGACAATTATTGCCACATTATGTGATCTTAAAAATGTTTTAATAGATTTCACAAGATGCCTAAATAGACATTACAGACAATTAGCACAACATTATTGTAGGACAGTCGTACATAAAGAAAATTTTCATGTGAATACTTCACATGCTGATAAACATTTGTAATTTAAAACGTATTTGTTAATTTTTGTTTAAGTTTTAGGGTTTAGAAAGACTACAAGCAACAATCATGCATGAGAATATTACTTGTGTGACGTCAAATTACAAGCTAATTTACATTTTAACTTCAAATAGAATATAATTTTTACAGTTTGCTCTAGGATTGTTATATATATGATACAATTAAAAATATTTGATCAATCTCTTGGAATGGACTTCTTGGGGTTGTAATGGCCATCTTCTTGTGGAGTTGTCTTGCTAATGGTGTGTTTTTTAGGCATCTTGGTATTTTTTATGGCTATGGGTTTAGTGGTAGGAGAAAACGCGTATTAGTTTCTCAAATTTAATTAGAGAGAATAGCTCGATCTTCCTGACTCTGAAGTTTAAGGAGTCTTGTGATGGATCTGGATCTAGCTATTGTTAGGATTATGCTGATTGTTATTTAATTTTGTTAGTCATTCAGTTAACAATATAATAAAGAGTCACATCACCAGATTTACCACACCCCCCCAACCCCACTCCCCCCCTCCCCCCCCCCCTCTGTTTTGTCGAGAAGGTGACAACAATTTCGTGAATCAATCTTTTCACAACCTTTTCCCCATAATTGGCTTACTAGGTTTTCCAGGGCATGTTATCATACTTTAGGATTTCTCAGTACGTTCCACATGCATTAGCCATGATGCCCCTTTGTTTAAATAGTTGTTGCTAATCTTCTTGTACTGATATACTTCCTTGTCAAAGTAAAAATTATATACTTCTATAAGCACTCTGCTCAAATATGAATTCCTCATAGATTGAGTTTGATGGGCAATGGTCCCCAATTGAGTTGTGGTGGTTTTAAGTATTTAACTGATGTCATCTTGGACAACTCCTATTTGTTGTTGTTTCTAACTTTAGTTAATTAATTAATTTATTTTTGTGCTGTCTAATTCTAATTATTATTGTATTGTAGGAATAGTAACAGACTCAAACGCTTATGATCAAAGTAAACGCCTGCGGACTGGGGGCGATTATACCCACACTGGTTATACGAGTCCATCTCCTTTTCACCCTCCCCCAGCACCTGTTTGGCATGGGTATGTATTTTTTTTTTTTTTTTTTTTTTAATTGTAACCTTTTTTTCTTCAATTTAATTATTTATGAGTGGTCAACAAAGGAAGGCACATTCCAGAATGAAGTGTTGTGATGGTTCTAGTAAACTAGTGTTGATTTACAATATATTTCCTGAAAGCACCTATCTTATTAACAAATGTTGGTTATCTGTCTTAGGTATATGGCCCCAGCTCCTCCACCATACGATCCATATGCAGGTTATCCTGTTCCTCCAGTGCCAATGCCTGCTCCTGTTCCTGTGTCAGCACCAAGTAGTTATGTACCTGTCCAGGTGATGTCTATACCCCATGCTTCTGATTGTTGTAGGGCTTTAAATAAGTTGACTAGTGCTTTGTTGAAGATCTGCTAAAAAAATTAATGTGCTCCAAGTATAGTATCTATTAGCTTATCAGGCCCAGTTTTAGTTGAGCTCAATTGAATAAGGAGTTTTATAATATGATAAAACTTGGTTCGTTTGTCACATGCTTATCACGAGTCCTAATCATGAGGTAAGCTTGAGTGCTTGATCCATTTTACAGCCTTAGTTGCATTTTGTTTTTGGAAGTTTTACTGTTTTTAGCACGTTATTTTGGCACTCATTGATTTTCATATAAATGCTCTTCTTTTCCTACACCATTTGTTTGTCTTCTGTCACAAAGTTTGCAACTCATTACTTACTGGAAAGTTTGCATTCATACATATGGGGCAACAAAGTTTTTTGTGTTTGCTAATACCAAGTTGTTTAGGAGTCATCTTACTTTCTGGTTTGGTTCTAATTTTGTTTAAATTAATCTTATAGAAATACCTTTTGGTTTTCCTGTCATGTTTTTTTCACTTCTATGTTGTTTGCAAACATTTCATGATGAAACAATGTGTCGTTGACTTGTACTATATTTTCCTGATGTTGCATTTGGATACATTGTTTTTCTATAGGCCCTTAGTTTCAAAAGAAGTAAGAAGTTATCATATTGATTTCTTGTTTTTCTCCCATTTTGTTGTGATTCTGGATTTGTATTATATAATAGGATAGGAATCATGACTTCTAGAAAGCTGCACAATCTGTTAAATTTTCTTAAAAATTGCTCATGCCAGATATGTATATTTATACAAAAACTAAAGTTAGTACCACGCGGGGTAACACTAATGAGCTTTCCATAAACGTAGGTTTGCACCAAGGATCGGTGCTAAGCCCGTATCTATTTGCAATAATCTTAGATGAAATAACAAAAGAATTTCAAAACGAGATTCCATGGTGCATGATGTTTGCTGATGATATCGAGCTCTTGGATATCTTAACAGAAAACTTAGCAATAAAACTAGAAATGTGGAGAAATGCTTTAGAATCGAAAGGTTTGAGAACTTGTTGAACTAAAATCGAATATATGGAGTGTAAACTTAATAAAGATTTGGACATTGATAATTTAACGATAGCGCTCCAAAACCAAAATATTACTCAAAACAACCATATTCAATATCTAGGATTGATAATAAAAAGAGACGGAGAGATAAATAGCGATGTAACTAGTAGAATTGGAGCGGGTTGGACAAAATGGAGACAAGCTAGCTGGTTTTTATTTTATGTGATAAGAGAATAAGACATGTTAAAAATAAAGTTCTATAGGGCCGTCATTAGACCAACTATGTTGTATGGAGTGGAGTGTTGGGCCCTAAAAAAGAAACAAGAACACCACTTTCATGTAGCGGAAATAAGAATGTTAAGATGGATGAGTGGAGTGACTAGAAGAGATATGGTCGCTAATGAAAGTGGGAGAAAAATTAGGGGTAGCACCCATTGGTTTAAAAATCCAAGAGAGTAGACTTAGATGGTTTGGAAATGTACATTGGAAACCTAGAGATGCGCCTATCAAACAAGGAAGACTAGTTGTGATAGAAGGTAAGAGACAGAGAGGACAACCCAAAAAACATGGAAAGAGGTTATTAAAAATGATTTAAAAAAGTTAAATATAGTAGTTGAAATGACATGTAATAAAAAAGCTTGGAGAGTGAGAATTCATGTGGCCGACCCCATTCATATGGGATTAAGGCAAGGATGATGATGATGAAGATGAACGTTTCTCTACCTATTAATTTGTGTAGTTCATTTGTATAATTGTTTTTTGAGTACGCAACAAATATTGGGCAATTATTTTGAAGAAAAGCCATGTTCTAGTTAGATGTGCATGTTCGCTACAATTATGCATATGGGTATCAGATTTATCTAATTCCCATATCCCAATACACGGACACCGTTAAAATTTTAAATTGTTTTACATCGTTCTTTTATTTCCTATGACAAAATGATATGTTATGCGATATAGATTAAATAACACAGGAATTTGACTCGTTTTTAAGCGGTCATGTTACAAAAGAGATAAGAACATTTATGAATGGTTATATAGTGTATAAAATTCGAATAATCTAACACGTTGGTGAATCTTCAACTAGATATGTTGGTCCACAGACACATATTGTATACTTGACAACTGTCATGTCCGACTTAGGTACGTTGTGCATTTTGAAAATTTCATATCACATGGAAGAAAAGTAAGGTTAGCCACACATCTAAAATACCAAAGAAGCATTTGTCTATGTTGGAAATCAGACTTTTTTTTTTTTATTTTTATTTTTTATCTATCTTTATTTTTCCTTATGTTAAGGCTTGATGAGCTCCTTTTTTTTATTATATATAAAAAGTGGCTAGTTTCATTAATAGCTAAGATAGCCTAATTTCTTTCTTCTCTCCCCTTTCTCTTTGCGTCCATTTTTTTTTCTCCTCTCTCATAATTGTGACCAACACTAGATCACAAACCTCTCCCCCCTTCTCTTTTTTCTCTTGTTTCGATTGCCTAATATAGAAAAACCATAGGGTTGGTGTGTGTGACAGTGTAGGGAGGATCTCTTCCCAGGTTCCAACCCCTATTTTAGAGGTATTCCCTTAGCGTTTGAAATATGTTAACGGTCTCTCGGTGCTATTTGTGACTTGTTTGGGTTGCTGGTGTGTTCGGTAGCATTGTTCTTTGCCTTCGCCGTGTCTTCGACAGTTTTATTGTCATATTCTTCATGTGCGTTTGTGATATTTTTGGGGTTATTTGATAACATGGGTTATGGGTGTTTAATGTACTTGCTTGTTTTTCTCTTAACACACACCTGCTCAACGTGTAACTAGTGTGCTGTTGAATGGAAAAAACTTTGGTTCGCGGTCTCGATCATTTTGTCTCTAAATTGGGGTTAAAGGAAAAACATGTTGGCTTTTGGGAATCGAAAAAAAAAAAATGATATCAAGGACCCTAAATATGGTCAATACTAGGATATGGATAAGTGTACCATTCTGGGATGGTTATTCAATTCTATGGAAGAGCGAATTTATAATTGATCAACCAAGAGGGGGAGTGGGAGAATTGGTTCACACAACTTGTTTCTGCACTTAGTTAATTCCTTTTTCAAGTGTTGTTATCACAGTAACTATGAAGTGTGTTAAACTGACACAAGATGTTACAAGGAAAACCCCTCTAAATAGGGGATCAAAAACCTTGGTTATTGGCCTTAGCCAATGTAAGTCCACTAGTTGTGTGTGTTGCAAGTTGATACACACTCAGCTGTCTCACACTCTAGCTCTCTATAGTGTATACAACACTCCCCCTCTCATAAGCACCCCTGCTTGGACCCTCTGAGCTCTTACAGCTCCTCAAATACATGAAAGCATATATGACAATAACATACAATAGGTGCTACAAATGATAAGAGTGACTATACAGCTCAAAGATGAAAACAATTCAAACCCTAGTTCAACTTCTGCAATAATCTCAGGTCTGAGATGTCAATCTTCAATGCAGCTTCAATTTGAGCCTATACATGGTTTCCTCAAACCTCGAATCTACTAGATGTACTTGCTCAAATGATAATCACAGAATGAACAAGAAGTTGTATCAACAATAGATCAACACCAGGCTTGGTTCAACAAAAAAACCATTTTGACTAGGTTTGAGACATGCCTCTCGTCTGTCAAGTTCTCTGTTCTTGTGAACGGGTCTCCTGCTGGCTTCTTTGGGTGTATTGGGGGTTTAAGACAAGGAGATCCCCTGTCGTCTTTCCCTTTTCTTATTGTTATGGGGGGATTAAGCAGACTTATGCGAAGGGCAGATGATCTTGATCTTATTAACGGCTTTATGGTGGGAAGAGATCCTGTTCATCAGATGGAGGTCTCTCATTTACTTTTTGTGGACGACACCCTAGTTTTCTGTGACGCTGATGTGTCTCAACTTAGATATTTGAGGTGCATCTTGGCTTGTTTTCAGGCTGTTTCTGGTCTGAAGGTTAATGTGGCTAAAAGTGTGCTTGTTTCGGTTGGAGATGTTCAGGATATCTCATCTTTAGCAACAGTCCTTGGGTGTAGAGTGAGTTCTTCCAATTCTGTATTTAGGTTTGCCTTTAGGGGTTTCCTCTAGAACAGTGGGGAGCTGGGACCCTGTGATTGATAGGTATGCGAAGAGATTGGCAGGATGGAAAAAGCAATACTTGTCTAAAGGGGGGAAAATTACGCTTATAAAGAGCACTTTATTGAGCCTTCCCACATATTTTTTTTTATCTATGTTCCAAATTCCATGCTTTGTTGTTGCTAGGATTGAAAAAATTCAAAGGGATTTCCTTTGGGGCGGAAGAGGAAAAGAGTTTAGGTATCACCTTGTCAATTGGGAACAAGTCTGCAAGCCAATGAAGTTTGGTGGTCTTGATTTCAGAAGACTGGTTCCCTTTAACCAAACCCTTTTGGGAAAATGGTTGTGGAGGTACGGGAGGGAAAGACATCGCCTTTGGCGAAGGCTTGTTTCATGCTGGTATGGGGAAGAGAGTGGTGGTTGGTCTACTCGTCTAGTTTCTCTCGTGGGAGGAGTAAGGGCGTGGAAATCCATTCGAAAGGGATGGGATGCTTTTTCTACTCATATCAAATTCAAAGTTCGTGATGGCAGATGTGTTCGCTTTTGGGAGGATCTTTGGTGTGGAAACCGGCCTTTATCTAGTTTATTTCCCAGATTATACAGTATTGCAGTTGATAGACATGCCTACGTAGCTGACTGTTATCGGCTTGATAGTAGTGGGATTACGTGGGACGTGCACTTTCGATGCTCTTTTTAGGATTGGGAAGTGGACGAGCTATGTGTTTTTATGGATTTACTGTATCGACCGGAGGCAGTTGGCAGAGGTTGTGACGACATGACATGGATTCCCTCTTCCCATGGTCGCTTCGAAGTTCGATCCTTATTCTTATGTCTTTCTGATTTTGATATCGTTGATTTT